TATCAGACAGTATTTAACCAGGGGTTGTGGTGGCTGGCAGTTTGGCCCTCAGTAATGCAGCTGAAATAATTCATTTGTACACTTCTCATTTGTCTGCGCAGTAGCTCATCATACAGAGGCACTTTGACTGTGCATTAGGTATCTCAAATAGACCTTACTGGTGATGCTGAACTTGCTAATTGTCTGCCCTTTCCTTCCCTGTGTAAAGGTGAAGCTGTGTTTGCACGGTGCCTGTCTTCCCTCAAGGAAGAGAGAGTACAGGCCAGTAAGCTGCTGAAAGGGCCTAAAGTGACTCAGTTTAGTGGGGACAAGAAAGCCTTTCTGGAGGACATACGCAAGGTGAGTCGTTGTGCTTTGCAGAGAGCTCTGTTAAAGTAGCAGATCAAAGCAAGTTTTGGATGCAGTAAACCTTGGTGAAAAGCTCTTCTGTTTGCCTTTCATGACAAGTGTTGCCTGCTTTCAGCCATCCCATTTTGGGTTGCGTAGTGGTGTCCGCAGAGCGAAAGGTGAACTACATAGAGCATGTCAGTCATAAAGTTTCTTGTTCAGCTCTGTCGGAGTTCTCTTTGAATATGCGTTTTTGTTTTTTTTTTAGGCACTGTATGCGTCCAAGATTATCTCGTATGCCCAAGGCTTCATGCTGCTGAGACAAGCAGCCAAAGAATTTGGTTGGACACTGAATTATGGTGGCATTGCACTGATGTGGAGGGGAGGCTGCATCATCAGAAGGTAATTGAGATGAATTGTAATTTAGTTATTGAGGGGAGAAGAGAAGGCAATTTTCTTTATGCAGTGCTAAACTGAGAAGTCTGGAGATCTTCTTGGGAAATCCACGGAGTTAATTAGCTGATAAGACACCAGGTTTTTCTAGTCAGCATTAGAGATTACCAGATGACACCAGTTTTCTGGTGGCTTAGCCACTGTTGATCTTTGTTTTCTTTTAATCTTTCCTGATGTTTGGAATCACTCTAGCTGAGTCAAATCTTGGCACTGTAATTTTTGGATTCTGGGCCACTGTAGAAAGATATGAAGTTTGATTCCTGCTTTACATGTTTCTGCCTAGTGTGTTCCTGGGAAAAATCAAAGATGCTTTTGATCGAAACCCTGAGCTCCAGAATTTGCTGTTGGATGATTTCTTTAAGACAGCTGTTGAAAAATGTCAGGTGAGTTTCCAAGGAAGAAAAGGCATAAAAACAGCAGTATAACTTCTTCAGCTTGTTTCCTTCACAAGTATATTTACACTGAAAATTGAAAAGTTAAAAAGAATATCTTTGAAACCTATTTAAATAGCATCCTTAATCCCAAAGATCTCTAACCAATCCTTAAGCTATTTACGACTGCTTTTGTGCATCTGTACTCACGTGAGCAGGAATTAATCATGATGGTTTCAAGGTATTCTTTTTTAATAGACCATACTACTCTTAAAATATCAGGATGGGAAATAAACTGTACAGTTGGAGCTGGTTGAAATTGCACAAGTGGGTTAGTATGATGAGGTGAGCTATACTGAGATCCAAATTAGAATTTTGCCAGACACCAGGGTTAGTGACCTGTCCTTCAAAAATACCTACAAATGCCTCTTGCCTCGCATTCACCAAAAAGTTGGAAAATGTTAGCGCTAAACACAGAAAAGCTTTTGCATCACTTTATTAATCATCATTCAGATATATCATGCTGCAAACCAAGGTCTTACATAATGTTGCAATGTATATTTATGCTGTGAACATCAAGATAATACAGAACCAAATGAACATTTAGTCCTTGTGTCATGGTTCTTCTCCTTAACACTAGCCAAGCTACCATTAGAAACTAAAGGTTTCCATTTTACCATTACGGAAGAGCCTTAAGCCAGAATATAACAATTCACTAGAACCACAGTGTCAGGAAAAAAATGTCTAGCCTGTATGAATACTCTGCCAGGTATCTTGTTGGTACTATGCACTTGGATTTCAGTGGTACAAAGTATAAAGCTCTGATCTGTTACTGTTGCTTGCAGTAGCACCAAAATAACAGCGTTCCAGACACCCTATTCATTAGATTTAGGTCTGTCCAAACAGTGTTGTGCTTCGAACAGGAGATGACAGGCAGAACTAAACCACATTATCTGGCAAATAAAGCAGTCATATGTTATCATTAATAATCCTTTTTATTGAATCTGAATATTCCATGCAGGTTACTAAATCAGATATACAGATGAAATAATGATTATCCACGTGTCTGTATGAAGCAATGTGCTGACCTCTTATGCCCTTGTGCAAGTTGTTGTACTGTGTGTGCTCGATTAGATGTCCTGAAAATGTCTCAATGTTTGTTCAGTATTTTTGCAACTGTGTTCATGCTTTTGGGATGCACAGATGATATTTTTGTGAAAGAACAGCATCATTACTTGAGTTGTTTGACTGCATGTAAATTATATACCTGCACTTTTATTTTCCTGTTTGCTAACTCTGTCTTACTTGCTCCTATTTTGGATCAACCTTCTTTATGTAAAATCAAGAATATACCACTGCATTTGTTCAGATGTAGATTTTATTATAATGTGAAATAGCATATGCTATTATACTAGAATAGTTTGTGTGCCTGCGTATGCATTTGAGCAAGCATGGATAAGTTGTTTTTTTGTTAATATTCTCTCCCCTCCTTCAGGACTCCTGGCGACGTGTAATTAGTACTGGAGTCCAGATTGGTATTCCTATGCCCTGCTTCACTACAGCACTTTCTTTTTATGATGGATACAGACATGAAATGCTACCAGCTAACCTGGTTCAGGTAGGTGCCTGAAATAACGTGGTATATCATCTATTTACTGAAATATCATCATGTTGCTGTTTAAGTACTGATCTAAGGACCATGATAGCAGTATCTCATACTCCACCATTATAAAAATATAGGCATAGATTGCTTTTGAAACCTTAAATTCAAGACAGAAAAACACTATGAAATGTCTGGTCATAGAACATCAGAGGTAGGGGTATGAGAGTGCCCAGCATATGTTAGTATTCTGTGAACTAGAGGTGATAATACAGTTGTTTAAAAAAACGGATCCTTTACCCAGTGTGTCATAAGCCAGTTCTCATACAGCCAGGAAAGACAGTTGTGTAAGTATGTGATATCTTTTTTCTTGGTTCCTGTTCAGGCCTTTCCTTTTTTTGGGGGTCCTTGGTGGTCTTCCTTGATGAAGTACCCTAACCCCTTTTATCCATATATGTGGTTGCATGTCACATAAGGACAGCTTAAGGCTACTTTCTCTTGCCAACTTTCCTTTGTTTCTTCCAGAAGTAGCATTTGTTCTTGATCAAAGATTAAAAGTTAAATGTAATTTTTGTCATGTACTACATAAATGATAATTGATTAAAGGGGCGCTCAATTAAACACAGACAATACCTCTTTTCCAAAGGAGAGTTTGTTCCATTACAATGCCTTTGGATCAAAATGCTATATAAAAAAAGTATGTATCTTTGGATTTTTGGATGTATGTGCTTGTCTTTTAGATTAGTATGCAGAATAAAATAATGCACTTGTTCTATGGAACTCTTAATTGCTAGTATTAATAAATGTTTCATTGTAGTTTTTCTTAATAATGAGAAAGTATGAATGTTACAGTATCAGAGTTGGATCTTATTTATTGATTCATATACTCAAGTCTCAGTAAGTGCAGTTTCTAGTAGTTGTATGACTGTGATATTCACGTGTCTTTTTACTTTGTTTTTGTTCTTTTTCTAGGCTCAGCGTGATTACTTTGGTGCACATACATATGAATTATTATCGAAGCCAGGTGCATTTATCCATACTAACTGGACAGGCCATGGAGGAAATGTGTCTTCTTCTGCCTACAACGTCTAATGGAAACATTTCCTTTTGAAGACAAGATACTGTAGATCTCAGATGTACCTCCTTGAACACCCCTTTTTACTGTACTGTGCTAGAACTTGTGTTTGCACACTTTTGTAATAACTTGTGGATATATTTCATATATCATATAAGAGAGCTAAATAAACCTGCTTATAAATGTATCAAGATACTTTCTTTACTCTGCTGCTGGCCAAAACTGGCTAAAATGTCTTTGTGCGGTGTTTCATAGAATACATTTTAATGTGCTAATATTTTTATTGTATTATAGTGCATAAACACATAGGAATCGAGATAGAAAAGCCTGCATTTCAATAATTGCTGAAGTGGAGAGTGGCAGACAGTGAACACAGTAACACTGCACAAGATTCCAGGGAGGTAAAGGGCTTTTTTCTCTGATTGTTTATTTGGAACAGGCAGTGGCTTGGTTCTTAAAGATTGATTCCTGGGTGTTACCTGCACACGGTGAGCTGTGTTTGCTTTCAGTGAAAGGGCGTAGGGTGGGATGGGTCATGGAGAAAATTCAATACAAATCAAGGGTGTCAAGACCGGTATTCCTGTCACCAAACAAATCTCTGTTCAGCTGCAGTTCCTAGTTTATGCTATCTTTATGTTCCTAGCTTAAAAATGACGGCTTAGCTGCCATTTTACCAAACCTTCCTGCTTTTTTTTACTTCCTCCTCCTTGGTCCAATTAAAAATACCTGTGGAAGCATGCAAAATTGTCTCTGTTTACTTGATGGCTTTGAAGGAAGAGGATATCATCTTTAGATGACTGAAAATTCACCTGGGTGCTTGTACCTTTATATCACAGAACCTATCAGGTGTTAAAGCTGTGTGCTGCGAGCTGTTCGCTGTATTAATTTTTTGCTCGGTGTTTACTGAGTACAGCTACTTAACAGAGTTATCAGTGGAATATCAGTATGATTAACAAAAGATAGGCTTCAACTTAAAGCAACTTGTTGCAGATTGTGTTGTAAAGTGAAGGGATACCATGGAACACCTGGGTGACGCTGCAGGCAGTAGCCATAACTGAAGCGTCGTGAATATTTTAGTAGTTTGCCCTAACGTGTGGTGTAGAAACCTTGTATTATAATTTTCTGTAGTGAAATGTAGCCACAGCTGTGCCAGGGTGTTAAAGCAGAGGGACAAGAGGCGGCTGGGGCTGGGGCTCCCGTCAGCGGCCGGGAGGGGCCCTGACATGGCGGCGGCGCGGCCCCGCCTCCGCGCTGGGCGGGAAACCGCGCCCGGGCCGGCCATGGAGGCGGCGGGCGACGAGCAGCGGGTGCTGCTCGAACAGGTACGGTGAGGCCGGGGCTGCCTCAGCATCCTCCTCCTCTTTCTCCTCCTTCACCGCCGTTTTCCCCCTGATGCCCGCTCCTCTCGAAACAGAACCGGCCGCAGCACCACCGGAGGGGATCCCCCGGGACAAGATGGAGCCGGGGCGGGAGCGTGTGGGGGCACTGAGGAGCTTGAGGGGGTTTCGGGGTGGGCTGAGGGCTGTGTGACCGCACGGCTGCTTCTTTACAACACAATTCGTGATTTCTGCGAGAGATCGGCTGTGGGTCTGCGGGGAGCTGACCTGTCGGTCTGACCTTCCAGAGGCTGCGGGCTGCGGTGCACTACACGGCCGGCTGCCTGTGCCAGGACGTCGCCGAGGACAAGGGCATGCGGTTCAGCAAGCAGGCCATCGCCGCCATCGCCGAGATCACCTTCAGGCAGTGTGGTACCTCCCTTGTGTCCTAATTACCTGCACAACGGCACGGGCTGGAGAGCGGGTGCTTTACAAAAAAAACAGCCGTTAAGCCCGCTGTCAGGGATGTATCGCTTCTTGCGTCACGATTTTAGAAGTGCAAGAAGTTGTAATTCTGTTTTTCAGACCTGCAAGAAAGCGTTTAAACGTATATGAAATAATTTTATGGGCCACCTGCAGCAGTGACACAACGAATTATGATTACTTCTTAAAACTTACATTGACAATTTGCAGCTGCACCTTTGTTTTTCTGTATTACTTATCTCTTCCTAATCAGAGACAGTATTTTAAAATCCATGGTGTCTGTTTTTTCTCCAGAAAACTTTGCAAGAGACCTCGAAATGTTTGCCAGGTAGGTAGTAGGACACTTGATCACTGCAAAAAGCAGCTCAGATAACTGCATAATCTTTAAAACGTGTCTTGTAACTCAAGTTTTAAAGGGTTCTGTTGACTGATTAAATAGCAGCTGTGAAGTTAGGAAATAAGTATGCTGCTACAGCTTCTTCCTCATCTTTGAAGCCAATTTGTGTGGTACAAGTGATTGTTTAGACTAATGGCCACATAAAATTGTCAAATTCATTGATGTGTAGTGGTGCTGAATGGTTTGGGAGTGACAGATGCTTGCTACCATGCCTGTGATTCATCTAGTTGCTCCAAGGAGGTAAGGGAATGTTTTAAGGACTCTGTTTGGTGCTCTGAGTCAAAACCAACTCAGTAACTTACTGGGAAGTAGGAGCCAGCAACAGTGTCAGATAATCTCTGCTAAATTCTACTCTTTCTACACATAAGTGTGAGTATTTAGATGTACACATGCACACTTGAAAAAAGGTTTTTCTATGTTGTTGTTGGGAAAGATTGTCATTGTTGGTTGCTGGGTCCCTATTAAGCTGCACTGGTTAAGAGTCTGTATCACATGCTCTATGACCTTTTACAGCTGGTGTTGGCAAACACATCAAGGGGTGTTTTTTAATTATATGCAGGCATGCAAAACGAAGCACAGTCACTACAGAAGATGTGAAGCTTTTGGCTAGAAGGAGCAATTCTTTGGTGAGATTCACTGTATTTTCTGTCTCAACACTCTTCTCAAACCAATTGATTAATTTCAAAGAGCATCTGAATGGAGGGTATAAATGATTAAATAACTATTGCATAAGCAATTTAAATGATTTGTGGATGATAGATGGGCATTATTCAATGATTTAATTTCTTTCTTCACTGTGGGAACACAGATCTGATTGTAGCTCAAGCAACAATGTTCAGGTTGCATCAGAGCTGCTGAGGTTTCAAGTACAAAAATACAACAAAGAAACACTATTTTTTTTTGCTGATGTTGTATTACTTTGTTTTAGCCTAAGGTCAGGAACAGCTTGTGTCCATGTCGATATGCTGAGTCTCTTAACATTAATTCAGGGATTATTCACATTACTGTATTCTCGTATGTTCTGACCTATATAAACTTTGGTGGACTTAAATTGACTCGTTTTAAGGCATATGTGTGAATGCTTACATGAAGAAGAGGGCAATACCTTCACAAGGAGGATGCTCTTGTCAGTATCTAATAATTGGTAACAACCAAAATTGTGTTCAGTATGCTGTAGAATCCAGAAGGAGGCTTACCTTTGCTTGTCAAGTTTTTTTCAAGGTTCTACATTATAAACAGATGCTTCTTTTCAAAAACAGAATGTCTGTGCAAATGAATACACCTCATTTGAAGAATGCTTTGAATGCTAATTTTAATTTTGTGTGTTTTTTCCCCTTCTCTCTGTGTGATTTGAAATATGCAACATGAACCTACTGTGAGAAGACATAATAAATGCTGGAGCTGAATTTTTTGTTCTTAACTATTGCGAGTCATGTCTAGCAGGTGCAGAGGAATCTGACAATGTTTCAGTACTCTGATCAGCAAACTCCAAGTAACTGTTAATGTTGCTGTCTTAGTTCTAGTGATGGATGCAAGATACATGTAGATTTGTAAATCCTACTTTTGCTAGGGCACTGCAGTATCTGAGACTATCCAACTGAGACTGAGGGCTTTGTGCAAGAATTAAAAGGGATTGGTACATGTCACTTTTTTGGGGGTGACTTTCTTATTTTTTGTAATAAGAGTTTGCCCAGTTAATTTATTTTAAGATACATGAACGAAGTTCTTCATTAGGTTACTGATTAGTTTATTTTCTCAGCTAAAGTACATCACACAGAAGAGTGAAGAACTCACATCAAATACCATGGAAGCAAAAGGAGAAGAAGAAAAAGAAATCCAGTGCAGCTAAGGGAGGGAGAAATTCGGAGGAACATGAAGCACCAGTGTCTGAAAGTGAAGACTCCAGCATGGCATGATTTACCTTTCAAGTAACTTCTCTGGTCGTTTTCTCTTACTATCCTAGAAGACCAAAGTTAGCATACCAGGGATTGCCCTTGCAGGTTAGCAACAGTAACAAGTCTTTACCTTTTTAGGTGAACATGATTAGTTGTATTTTTTGTTCCAAAACTGAAAAGGCTGTCAGAATTCAGCAATGTATACAGCCAAAATGCCTTAATTACTCATTAAACATTATCTTACTGTTATTTAAAAGAAAATCCTTTACTGAAAGGGTTTAAAGGAAAGCATTCCCACTGAGCATAAGGCCTCAGTATGTGCAACTCCCTCCATGCAAAAACTTAGTTTTTCTACTAATTGATCTCTTTCTCATTTCCATTTCTTTTTTTTTTTTTTTTTTAAGGTATTATATTTTCTTTTTATTAGCCATATTACTTGTTCTCTTGACAATTAAAGCATATTTTGTGTAATTTTTCTACTGTGATATTGTTGTTATGCAATAATCACTTTCAATTGGTTGCATGACACTTCTGAATTTTATGGAATATGCCCCCCCCCCCAGTGGTGTTCAGAAATATATCACCATTGCCCTCTGCTGGCCTGGTACAGACTTACCAAATGTTAGTTCTGTAGAAGCAGATTTTAAGAATCATAGAATCATTAAGGTAGGAAAAGACCTCAAAGATCATTTAGTCCAGCCTTAAGACATAAGGTACTAGATATAGTGAAATGAAAGGAGGAGAAGGCTGCTTAAAAAACTGTGGTATGAGAAAGTTTATAGAGCAGGAGGATGCTTGCCCAGGGTAGTCTAAAATGTGCAGTAAGAGACAAAAAGACTTGATTGCTGGTTTTCCCTTGCTCTTGACCCATCAGACAAATACTTCTTTGATGCCAGTTGTTCTGTCCTGAAGGAGGCAGCTTAGGGAAATTTCCCAAAAACATGTTTGAAATTATCAGGTTTTCATTTCAGTAATTCTCTTCTCAGCCCTTAAATACTACACCATGATTACAGGATAACTCTAATTGCCCTGAAAAACTTCTAGGTATAGCTTTGCTTCTTGTTTAAAATCATTCTCTCTTGAAAGAACAGTACTATTTCTGGACTAGGGTCATTCATTTGTACCTGGCACATGGGAGAAAAGTAATATTCTGGGCTCCTTACATGTGCTGCCTTTTATTCTTGCTCTGTGTTTGAGCTATCAAACAGTGGTGGATGGGGAGAAAAAACAGGCTTTTTGTAGGCTGTAACTATTCGGTATTGATCAAATAAAACCAAGCATTGCAGTGCAGGAAAAAAAAAAAAAAAGAGGCACGAATCTCTCCCTCTGGATCTATACGGGACGTTTTTCACAATCACACTTCTAAACACCCTCCTGTTTCCTTGTCCCAAACTGCTCCAGTTCCAGGGATGAGATGGGCTTTTAGAAAACTTACTCTACTTTAGAAAACTTTTCTACTGATTTATTTAGAAAACTTATTCTACTGACTAAAAGAGTAATAACCCAGGACAAAAACCCAGTATTGTTTTTTGCTCTTACCCACTTCTCACTGAAGGAGAGACAGTTCTGTAGTCCTTGTCTGAAATCTGTCACTTCCTGTCTGAACACATACACATATTTCACTGCAGAATGCAGAAGATGCTGGCTGAAAGCTAGAGATGGTTTACTGAAAAGTCTTGTGTTTGTTTGCTGTGGAAACATTAGATCTGGCAGAGGTTATTTTGTTATCACTGACAGGAAATTCTAGCTCTGAGCTGACTTTTGGAATGTAATGATCTAAAGATCTATAATAAAATCTACCCTAAAAAAAAATCAATTTATAAGGATAATTGAACTGTTAGGTTTAAAAATCCCATTAATGGAGATGTTTTAGGAGTTTTCAGCTTTGTTTGATTGATTGCACTATTGAAAGAGATCCAAGAAGCAGTACATAAACTTGACTATTATAAAAGGATTTTTCATAGAAATTAGAGGATGAGGTATAGCACTGGAGTCTGTTAGCCTATTAGCTAATCGCTTCTCATTTGTCACAGAGACATTTGAAGGATGTTGACTATAATAGAGTTTTAAAGAGAGCTAAGTACTGTGTATGTGCTCTTCGCAGATAATACTCGAGATTACTTCAGCTCAGCTTTAGGATAGAGTTTAACTGCAGCTCCCATCAGCTTATGAAAATCTGTTTTTGTTGTTAGTAGAACAGAACAATTAAGAGTAACAATTAAAATTATACTGTGCTACATCTAGTTGATAATTTGAATTCTGTAGCGTAAGAACTGCAGCATTTAGTAATTTACAGGCATCTGAAGAGCTCTAAACTTGATAACAGAAAAAAAGCAGAAATGAAAACCCTCTTTTTTCTTAAGGCTAGATTGGAAGGACCATCACTGCCTTCTGCAAGGATTATCAGCATGGTCTCTGTGACTCCCATCTCAGTGTTCTCCTGAAGTAGTTAAAATGTTTGTAATACATGTAGGATTGAAGTAATTATGCTGTTATTTCAGATATATGGAAAAGTGATAGGTAAAACCCCTTTCCTCTTGTACAGCATGAGCAGTAGGATTTCCATTGCTAAGCTGAGCTTGAAAAAAGCAAAGCACTGAAGCTTTGAGCAAGACTGAAAAAAAGGTTTAAAAGGGGAAGAGTGGTAATCACAGGCAGAGACATAAGCTCACAGAAAAAGCCTGCTGACAGCTAATCTGCTCAATGCACTCAGTTTCAATGGGTAGCCAGTGTAATTAGCTTTGAGTGCAATACAGCATGCTTCAGAAATTGTTAATGGACAGCCATACGTGTTCTTTCAGAAAGCCTCGAATATAAAAAGCTTGCAATAAGTAGCTATTTAAAGCAGCAGGAACCCCTTTTACCTGCCGTGGCCTATGATGTTACAAGCCAGAAGCATACACTGTAAGAAGAAGCAATCACTTGCCCAAGCGAAACAGATTGTCCAAAAAGTTGACTGAAGGCTTACCCCCAAATTCCAGCCAGATCTCAGGGGGTAGCATCTTCAGAAATTCCTTGAAGTATTTTTTGCTTACCTACACAGATGTACTAAACCGATAAGAATATTTTAGTTACTGAATTAACCACATGCAAAGTTAGACTTCCAGTGTATCTATATACAGTGCCTGCTGTAGCAATACTCAGCAGACAGCATCCAGTACCATTTAAGGTTATGTTAAAGGTTTAAGGTTATGTCAAATCGGTGGATTTTGCATGATACTAGGAAGGATTTATACCTACAAAAACTTTCCCGAAGTTTCAGCTCACCTTTCAGCTGCTTTTGTATGCATTTCACATTCTCACAGGAGAAGAAAAGAGTACACCAGAACTCTCACCATGTTCACACCTATACCTAAATATCATCTTCAGACAGGTTAAATATGGAATACTTTTGCATTTTAAGTTCTTCCTCTATCCCTAAATAGTGTACATATTGGCACATTCTTTAATCATAGCCACCAGCAGGAATATCAAAACTGGTCCAACAGTATAGTAAAAAGGTTTTAATGACATTAGAAAAAGACTTTAACCAATTTAAAAATAAGCAGGTCAATACAGAGGTGTTATGATACCATACCAGTGATTAGGATAGGAATACAGACAGGCCAAATAGAAGTCTTTGTGGTGGTTTTACTCAGGTGGGCAGCCAAGCTCCACCAGAACCGCTCTCTCACTCCCCCTCTCCTCAGAGGAAGGGGGAGAAAATACAACACAGAGAACTTGAGGTTTGAGATGTCCTTGAGGCACACACTTGGTATCCCCATCTTTCTGCATTACCCACCAGGTATACCCTGGTCCTTGGGAAAGGCAATCCCATGAGTGGGTTTGCCTTTTCCCATGGCAGGGGCAACCCACACCGCCTTCCCCGTCCACTTTCCCACATGCACTACAGGGACTTTAGCTTCTCCCACAGTGTATTGGGTTTTTTTTCAGCAGGTCCAGGACGGCTGTCGGACCCCCTGTTGTTAACTAGCCAAGTGGCCTCTAGTAGATTTATATCCCAATGTTTCCACGTCCCAGCACCCAATGCTCGCAGCATAGTTTTTAACAGTCCATTGTACCTCTCAACCTTCCCAGAGGCGTGTGGGTGACAAGGGATGTGATACACTCACTCAATGCCATGCCTCTTGGCCCAGGAGGTGACCAAATTGTTTCAGAAGTGACTCCCATTGTCAGACTCAATTCTCTCTGGTGTACCATGTCACCACAGCACTTGTCTTTCCAGGCCCAAGACAGTGTTTCAGGCCGTGGCATGGTTTACTGGCTGTTTCCAGCCACCCGGTAGTTGCTTCTACCATGGTGAGTATGTAACATTTACCTTGGTGGGTTTGTGGGACGAGAGTGACCAAGAAGGAGAGGCAGAGAAGCGCTGCAGACTGACCATAACCCCCATTTCCCTGTTCCCCTGCGCCGCTCGGGGGGAGGAGGTGGAAGAGGGTGGATGGGGGGGAAGGTGCTTTTGGTTTCTTTCCTTTGTTTCTCGCTTCTCTAGCTTGTTAGTAATAAGCAATAAATCTTACTATCTCCCTATGCAGAGTCTGTTTTGCCCGTTACAATAATTACTGTGTGATCTCCTCGTCCTTATCTCAACCTCTGAGCCCTTTTCATCGTATTTTCTCCCCGTTCCTCTTTGAGGAGGGGGAGTGAGAGAGCGGCTGTGGTGGAGCTCAGTTGCCCACTCGAGCGGAACCATGACAGTCTTCCATCCCACAGCCTTTCAAAACAAGCATTTCCACTTTTGCTATTTTACAAATTAGTGCTTACACTGCACTCAAGGCAGGAGTTCCTTACAGAAAAAAAAAAGCCACAGAAATTAAGAGGTTTTGATTTTACTTTTAACTGGTGAAATTAGAGAGAAGTTCAAGTTCCTAGATGCCAGGCTAGAGCTTAAGGCCAGACAGCAGCTGGAAAAACCACATGACAACTTTAATAGGCCAAATCACAACAAACCCCTACAAAGAAAAAGCACGCTGTGTTCAATGAGCAATCCTCAGAATGCCTTCTTCCTATTTGTTAACGTCCATGAGGTAGATGAATTTCATCCTTTACACTGCAAATGGTGGGAAGATAAAGTAACCAAACTGCCCGAGGCTCCAGAAGCTAAATCCAGCATTATCAGATGGAATTTTCTGGCTCCCAAGCAGCTATTCAAAGCTGAACTCTTACATGCTGTGTTTAGTAATTCCATTGTTCTAGTATTCTGCAAAAAGTCTAAATCCCTTTGGTTACACATGATTTGAGTCATCACAGGAGTTTAAGCCTCAGGACAATGTCCAGATTTCAGTTGTCTACAGCCAGACCATGGTATGACCAGCAAACTATGGCTGCCAGGATGTATCGTGTTTACGTTGATTGCAATTTAGAAAAACAAACAATAAAAAAAAAAAAACAACAGCACACCCCACTTGCATTCCCTTGGCACTTGAGACAGAACAAGAGTCTTATTTTTTACGTTTTGAACTAAGCCAGTCTCCCCAAGGTAGCGTTTTCTTGCCCTTTGATGTGCTCCTCAGGGAATGCAAGGTCTGCACTTGCTGTAGGCGCTTGGAGAGCTCCTGATCGCAGGCTTGCTGCAGAGCTTCAGCTTTCTGCTTGTCCCAGCTGAGAGCTGCAGCCAGGGCTTGTGTGTCTTCTTTCACGACCAGCTGTAATGAGACAGATTTGTAACAGTCTTCTCCACTGATGCTTTAACACCACAACCTCCTCTGCCCGCACTAAGAACAGGAACAATTAGACACCTATTTAACAATGCCAATTTGGTGATGTTTCTAGCTTACCTATTTCATCTTTTAGGTTACTATATTTTTCTTTCTACTGGTACTTAGAATTTGAAGCTATGTTCCAATGTTCAAGCAAACAGAAAGCAGTTGTTTTTCTCTTCTGTAGAAACTAAGACTCATAGTATCAGAACACATCCTATAGGTTAGTTTACCTAGACTTTCCTTTCAAAGCTATAGGTTTATTTACACTATTTTCCAAAATAAGGAGGTTTTTATTTTGCCTTGGGATGCACACAAATACGGCTAAATGTATCTGCATCCAAAAGACTTGCTGGTAATACAGATGAAGCACTGGCTGTCTGTGCTATCAAGATTTGGCAGAGATTAAAACCACAATTTTTTCCTGTGGCTTTTCCAAGTATGTCCTAGAGTACTTGGAGGATTATCAGCTGCATTTAACAGCGAAGCAGGAGGTAGTGTTACTGAAGAAGAAAAACGGGCTAAACCTCAGCACTTTAAGACTGAGGTATATTGACAGTAGAGCCTCCAGAGGCAGGGACAGCTTCCCCTATCACCCCTTTCACCAGAGAGATTTGCCAGAGTATGGTTATGTGATCCTCACCCACCTCTAGATCCTGACTGTCCAAGCAGAGCTCTGGGACAGGTTTCCCTTTCAGAACAGCAAGGAGGTGGTCGCTGAGTGCTGTTTTGGCTGAAGTGCCAGTGCTGCTGGTACCCGTGTCAACCACATCCATCTCCTTTCCTGGTACGGTCTCAGACTCTGAAAAGTGGCAGCAAAATCATTACAGCCTGTGACAGGCACAGGACAGGAAAAGTAGCTCAGAATGCATTGCTGTTTTTGAGATTAGTAAGGCATACATTGTATCTAGATGTAGCCTGTAACTTAGGATATCTATTATGCTAAGGATTACTACATGATTTATGCTTTTCCCCCCAATATTCTACTTTCAGGCGTGAGAATCGTGACAAAGCAGCAAAAGGACTCCTGATCTCTCCCATTCAGAGAATTCTTATGCTACACCAGCTTAATACATCAGTCATATTCATAGCTGCTAAGCAAGTGGCTCACTC